CCAGCCCGCGGCCCAAAGCTGCGGCCGCCTGCCCCACCATCCTCCGCAGCCAGGCAAAACACGGGGCTTCGAGGAGCAGGCGCCGGCCGCACGTGACTCTCCCGAGGCGCTGGGGGCGGCCGCTGGACCGCGTGTGTGTGGGGCGAGCCTGCCAACCCCCTGGCTTTTCTCGTAGGGTCAGCGGCGCCCCATGTACCCGCCCGGTAGACTCCCCACACGCTGCGAAGATGGCCCCGGATGTTATCAGTCGCAGAATTGGGCTTCTCTTCAACGTGGAGCCCACCCACTTTCCCTGTTTCCATTCTCCTGCGAAACCGGGGGGTTTCTGTTAACAGCGTCCTCGTCCGGCGGTCTCTGCCCAGCTGCGGACAGCGTGCAGGGATGGATCCTGAAGTACAGCGAAAACACGCAGTCCTTGATGCGTCGCTGACCTGCTTGTCTGGGCGACCTGCCAGATCTTCCTCCCTCTTTAAATATTGATAAAGAGCAAACTGGGATTCTGGCGCAGTGAGGGGAGTTAATGGGAATTTGCTTCCACGGAGAAAATAAAATGAGAAAGGTGGGAAATCGTAATATAATGGATTAATACTTAACATGTAGACCTGAGGATCCAGAAAGATGCAATCAAACAAGAGGAATGAATGAAACACTAGCTATATCAACAGACTTGACTGACTATTGTTATTAGCCTAATGTTTAATTGTTACTAGGATTTGTTATTTTTTTTTTCCTCCTGGTTAGATTCCGTTCAGGGCAAGTTAATAAAATAATTGGTTCTTTCTATTTTTATACTGTATTTGTATTTTAATTTGTGCTGTTTAACTCTTAAGTCTTAATTTTGAAAAGGCTATTTGAAAAAATAAATGCTGTAATGTATGCTATAGAAACAAGCACTAGAGTATAATAAATGTGTGTTTATATTGGCTGGTGCATTGGACTGCTTTCATTTAAGGTAGTGTTCCTCAAATGTTGTGCAATCATGGACCACAAAAGAAACATTAGGAAAATGCATGGACCGCCCAATTAAACAAATGCCATCCTCCATACGTTTTAATCTGTAAGAGTGTGGGAGTTCACTTTTTTTGGCATTTATGTTTGCATTTGTGTATGCTTTCTCTTTTTTAAAACTAAAGTTTGTACCAGAAAATTTAATCCAAAGTTAAGTTTTTATTTACCACTTAAGTTATTTTATGTACCCCATGCCATAATAGCAATTCTTAGCCCAAACTTGCTGGTCAAAATTTACTTCAAAATATCTCTCATTGTCAAGAGACATCTCCAGCCCATTTTCAGATATCCATTATTGCATTTCCTATTTGCACTTTTCAGGTGGCAGGCGCAAAATCACAATTCCATTTAGCATAACACAGACAGACTCATAGTCAATAACTATGCTTGCAACCTGTTCACCTGTCAGTTTGCTGAGTGTTAGTACTTACATTGTTAGTAATATTATCACTTACCCTTCAGTGAATCAGTTTTCAGGCAGTGATCTGTTTTTGGGAGCCAGCTGACCGACAGTGCACACAGCAGATGGGGACTGAGGCGGTGGTTGGGCTCTGGCCTGTGAATGCAGAGAATCTGGCAGACCACCTGTGAATCTCCATGAACAATTGATGGTCCATGGACCAAAATGTGAGACTTACCAGTGAAAAGCATAACCTTACCCTGTGGTTTGAAAGGGGATAGTGCGCTGTGTTGTGACTGTGGTCATTACCATAAATGGATCTATCTGTGGCAGCATCTCCCAACCTGACATTCTCCTGTGTGTTGGGAACTTGCAGAATTTCAACCTACCTGGGAATTCTGGGACTTGTAATCCCAACAAACTTAGAGGATGCCTGGTTGGAAAAAAAACAGCATCTGATGGGAGTCAAGATTTGAAGGGACAGCCTCACTTTGCAATCCTGTTTTCTGAAAACTCTGAAGGGCCTCCTCCCTTGTAAACATGTTGAATATTGCACCCCTGATATTTCTTTCTTTTTATTTTAAACTCAGCTTTTTTGGCTGTGGGCTCTCAGACCAAATCCATCTTAGGGATGCCTTCCTAGTACTGACAGTTGAATGGCATTATGCCTTCTTAATAGATCTCTAGTAAGAAAAAAAGAAGAAACAAAGGGAAACACCCCATCTGCAGATATAATAATAACAGCAACAACAACATCTGGATTCCTATAAAATTCAGGGATTGAAGCTGGTTAATTGTACACAAAGGAGATTTATTTCTATAGGGTATGTGTATATGTAAGGGATGCAGTAGAATCAATAGGTCAGTTTTGCATAATGAGGAAAAAACGTGGACATTTTGAATTGAACGTTCTGGAATGTAGATATGTATGTCTTTGTATGGGTGTGCAGCCCAACATAACGGGTCATCTGTGTGCCAGAGCAGTAGCCTTTTTTCTTACCAATATTCTCTAGCTACCTACAGTATTTGTAAATAAAGCAAATATTACAAACACCATTAGTCCCCCAATATTTAAGTCCTATGGTAAGTCTTACCCTGTCTACCTATGCTATTTCAATAATTTACGAATGTAACCTCCTTATCCAGTATATACCCATTTCTCCTTGCCTTTTCAAAATTTGAGAACATGTTCTCCATAGAGCTAATTGGTATTTCCTTCATTTTAATTATTCCGTCAAATATTTTAAACCAAAATCTTGTCCATATATTTGAATGTGTCTTAGAATCTTTTAGAATAGCTTCACAAAGGGCCTTCCTAGATATAGAATCTTTCTGTGGTGGTAGGAATACCACTTTACTAGTCTTAATCCTTTTCTTTGGCCTAGAAAATGGAACAAATGCCAAATGGTTTTAGAAAGTATGCAGATTGCATGGTACAATCAGATTTGTTGTTAATTCGTTTTGTTTTAATCCCTGTTTTTCTAAATCCACAGACTCTAATATATGAGTTCTGATGACACAGGCAACTAGCATACAGTATCTGAGGATTTGAAGGATTTGATTGAAAGAAACAGTGCAAAACAGTATGGGGGGAGGAGGTTTCCCTCTTTTAATTCAAACTACTGATAAAATACAGCAAAAGCAGTTTCATTTCTTCAGTCTCAAGCTTTGCAGATATGATTTACAAATTACTCTGTATACCAACATGAACAGTTTCCCCCTCCCATTCAGATAGTGTTTCAAAATTACAAATTAAAGTGTAGCATTTTTTTTTCTGAACTTCAACTTTCAGCTCTAATCTATGCATATTTATGTGCATTATCATACGTGCTTAACATAAGTGTACTCTATTCTCTGTCCTACTTTTATCTACTTTTCCTAATCCTTGAATTAAAAAAAGGTTTATAGGTATTAGTGGAAAGTTTTCCTTTTCTTCTCTCAGTTGGATGAACTGGCACCTAGTCTTGGTCTAACTGGTGATTTCTTTGACTAATAAAAACTTTGATCTTTTCTTCCCTCTCTTTTAACCCTACTGAGGAGTCTCTATAATGAATAGATAAGGCCCTTCAATTACAGTATGTTCTTTGGCACTCTTCCCTGAAATCATGCCCTCAAAGCTTCAGACCATTCAGAAACCAGCAGGTGCGAACACTGTCTAATATATTTTAGAATATCCTTTCTCTAAATTGAAACTAATAGTCCAACAGCCACTAGAACTGTCTTAAGTCTGTTTTAGCTGTCAGCCATCACCTCCTTTCCAAGCTTGTTCTTCCTAAAGTCTTCCTGGCTGTTTTTTATGTCTTCCCATTTTATCCCTTCCTATTTTCCACCCCTCCTTTTTTTATGAAAAATATTTCCTATCTGAATCTTAAATGCTTAAGGGTTGAATCTTAAATCAACTCCTTAGCAGCAAACTGAGTACAATTTTGGTACCTGCACTGAAGTTTGGCATTCACTAGCTCCAAACATACTTAGGTACAACCATCCTAGCTGGCATGGTCAACATTGCTCATCTATTGGCTTGGAACAGGAACAGCTGTCATCCAACATTCCTGGAGGATACCACATTGGGAACGGTTGGGGCTGGAAAACAGGCTGAATATTCAACATTAATATGCTATAGATCATATTTCAAAATTCAATGCATAAAGCATGTATATGCTTGTGCATGTATAAAAGAGATATTTG